GGGAACCCGACAGAAGGGCTGGACAGGCTGGTGGGGTTGGAAAGGCGAGGTAGGGAGGAAGGTAGCGAGGGCGTTCCTGAAGCCACTCCCCAACCTCGAGTCCTCCGGAACTGGAACCTGCCTGCCTGGAAACCCGTAGTTATATACCTGAACAAAGTGCACCTTGGCATGCAGGTAGACGCCGCGGCGCGTTGCATGCGCGCTCATTGCAGTCTCCTTTCATCTCTCTCACTCTCGACATTCGCACGAGTGTCCTCGACATTCTCCCACATGCAGTTCGTGTCGCATAACATTTCTCGCTGCTAACGTACTTATCTCCCTTTTTATTGTGCGACAGAAAGCGCGCGACAAGAATGCCAAAGAAACTAAAAAAGGAACAAGATGCAGCCTGGTCTATTAATGCGTTCACTATTAACTACTATATATGTACGTAATATATGTTTTCCATTGCGTCTGGTCTCTATTTTCAGACAGATCAATTTATCTAATAATAATTACATAAATGTAAATTGTCAATCAAAACTTTCAATAATCGTTATTTATGGGAAACTGTAATAGTCAATTTAGTTGTTGATTAAGAGTCATGAAATTTTTACAATGTAATTAAATTCTTTATAACTTGAGACTTAATGCGTTTAAGACCGTGCGTCTTCAATTATATATTTTTTCACAACGCATGGCGACAAAATATTTCACGGTATACGGTATATTTCCAAAGGAATGGTCGGCGAAGTGCATTCGGTCGGCGTGTTTATGCTAATTAGCCGCGCAAAGGTGCGGCCAGGTGCGGCAGGCTCGGACTATAGTGAATGTTCGGATTGGCTCTTACAAATTGCCGCGTTAATTCGATACGCTTCCGACGTAAAGAGCCGCGAGCGCCAGATGTATTTAGCTGTTCTTGCCGGCACACGGACCAACGTAAAATATGTACAGCATTTGCGTCGACTCTCTTTAATTGGTATCCGAAAACGGGATTTTGATTATCTCCGATTAAAACATAGTGAGATAAAAAATGCGATTGATACGCTGGCGAAATAAAAGAATGCTCGTAGAATGATTTCGATTATAAAATAGCTCGATTAACATCATCTTTAATAGATCGAATCCTTATTCTTTTTTTACTAAGGTATTACGTAAATATAAGGAAGATAAATAATACAAATAAGCTTACCAGTTTCAAGATCTACAGTGTAAGGAAGTCCTGCCCATGGATCATCTTCCTGCGGCTCGGATTCTTTGGTATCATTCTAGAAATAATGATAATTTCGATCGAACACAAAAAGATCTTTAAAAGATCTTTTATAAAAAATCTTTTAAAGAGATTACATATCCGTGATCTTTTACAAAATAATCACAGAGATTATATATCCGTGATTACACACACACACACACACACACACACACACACACACACACACACACACACACACACACACAC